CATATGCAAATGAGCTGACAAAATTGAGTTTTGTGGGACAGGATTGACAGAATTGAGTTTTGTGGGACAGGATTGACAAAATTGAGTTTTGTGGGACAGGATTGACAGAATTGAGTTTTGTGTTCACATATATTGTGTTCGTGTATCGATCCATAGTCCTAATGTTTAATTAATTAATTATGTATTTATTTATACATTAATTAATTAATTAATTAAGTTGTAAGTGTAATGCTAGGGAATTTGACAAATCAAGTTATGTGCATATGTGAATTCATCATTTCATTAGCTAATTGACAATGATATATAACATTTATATACATATATATATGATATATATATGATTTGATATATATTGACTGCTAAAAGTAGACGAAGGCAAGTTCTGGGAAACGTCAATAATACAGTCGCATTTATTTGCAGGAAACCTTAATATTTAAAGAAATCATCTAAAAAAGTGCTAGTCACTGGCTTTCTTAAAATGTGATATTCCGCGCAGAATTGTTGTGGCTCATTAATTGCCGCATATTGCTGGTTAATCCGAAGAACATCTGCGCGTTTTGCGCTCAATTGCATAAACATACCGAATTTGGGAAAGTATGTTTTAAATATGAAAAGGCCTAGCCGTTATTCATGGACGTACGATAAATCAACACAATGCTTTCAACCTGAACTGACTAATGGCAATTTGAATTTGGGCGAAGAATAGCTAGAATTCGCTCACATATGCAATTGTATATTGGATATAGCTTCGGATCTTACAATCCAAAGTCAAAGCAATTGGTCTAGACTATAGCGAAACGAATTAGAACGATAACGAAAGCATATTGCAGCGACTGTGAAAGCGAACGCTTTAGCACTAGCGCCACTATACTAATTACTATTATTTGCTGTAACAAAGAAAAGAACGCTTACACATGTGTGGCGTATGAAGGTTATTTTCTTTGTGAACATGCAGAAATACCTGACAATGTTATGTAGTACACAGTTACGTGAAACGACACACATGATATCCAGGACCGACAAGACAGTATAATGAAGACCATGTTATGCTATCATGCACCTGTCCCTGCTTCCTTACTAATGCTAGGCAATTACAGAAATGCAGTTATGTGCATATCTGAATAGATGATTTGATGACCTTGACAATTATATATAACATTTATATACATATATATGATATATAGGTATAATTTTATATATATTCACTGCTAAAATTACACG